ACGGTCACAAGCTGGCAGAGGGTAGATTCAGACTAGACATCAGGAGGCGCTACTTCACCATCAGGGTGGCTAGGATCTGGAACCAACTTCCAAGAGAAGTGGTGCTGGCTCCTACCCTGGGGGTCTTTAAGAGGAGGCTGGATGAACACCTTGCCAGGGTCGTTTGACCCCAACATCCTTTCCTGCCATGGCAGGGGGTCGGACTTGATGATCGGCTCAGGTCCCTTCCAACCCTACCAACTATGAAACTATCTACAGCATCAGTGCAGTTCCAGAATGCCATAACAGAGTAATTTGAAATTTGAGGCTGTTAGCCATTGGATTTAATAGACCTCGCAATATTGCCTTAAACACAAAATAATCCCACTTAGTAGGTTTTACAGGTTCCACAGGGACTAGCCTTTTGGTATGTATTAATGTTTAATGACAAGCAACATCTCCGCAGCAGTTATGGGTTGGGGGGAGACAGTAATAAAAAATTTAACTTGATTGTGATATAGTTGTCCAGGCTGGTAGTGGAAGTCCTGTTTTCTCTTCTTCTTTTGACCCAAGAGCTGCTCCCATTCTTCCCACTTTTACTTCCAGTCCACTTTAAAAGCCAAGACATCTGCTTCTTCTGACCATCTGGAATATAGCTCCTATGCTGATTAGTTTGGAAAGTGATGACTAGATGGTCTTATGGATACATGTTTAGGAATTTGGGGAGGCTAAGGATGGCTCCTTAGGAGTGCCATCTTTGGTGAACAGAGGCTGTCAATACCATCCTTATGTGAGATCATAGACTGGTGATTTTGCTAAGACCTATTATATTCCTCCCACTTAGTGTTTCAGAGTACAATTGAACTGGATAGGGAATTGGAGGTAAGGCATTGCTCTACCTTGATACTTAACGCCATTGTCTCCTTACAATAGGAATTCAATAGAAGTCAGCATGCTTAAAGGAAAACTGATTCAGGACAGCTAATGAGGGTGGCAATTACTAAGGGGTCTAATGAACAGACAAAAGGGATACTTGGGACTGTGTGTGCAGTACAGCTGATCGTTATTGGACTCTAATGCATATACTCAACTAATGGAGAGGGATGGTGCTGTATATATTCTCACAGAGCGCAATGTGAAGAAACAGGGATCTGTGCTGTACAGAGAAGGGCTGCTTTATGCTTCTGAGCTCTAATCCCGACTCTGACCCCTTGGCCAAAAGATAGCTAGGAATGCCTAAATTCTTCTCATCCACCCTCCAACATTTAATCCCATGAAGCCATGGGACAATTTGTTCATCTTTCTTTTGATTCTTATTGTGGTCAGTGCTCAAAAAGACCCATACTGGGTGCTGTAGGAAGATGAGATTCCTGCCTGAAGATGCTTTATTAGCAGGGTTAGGAGGAACAGTGAAACAAGAATGGGGAAAGGGAATATTTTGCCAAAGTTCATCAAAATTTAGAAGAAATACTGACCAGCTTTGTCTACAACCTGGAAAGAGAACTGATGGGACCAAAGAAGATAAGTGAGAGGAGAACAGGAAAACACAAGTTAAAAGACCATGTTTCTGTGCTGTCTGGAGTGTACAGTATGTCTTGCTGGGATGGGAGGGATACCCTATTATGCTGTTTGCTTTGATAATAGCTACATTCTTTCTATTTGCTTTTTTTTTTTATAATCACACCTGACTATTTCATTTAAGCTTCACCTATTTTCATTTTTTTAATCAAGCATCTACCTGCAATTGTTCTCTTATATTTTATTTGAACCGAAGATTGTTTCCTGTTAATGTATGTCTACATAGCTGTATGCATAAACAGATGCTCTCTACCTGTGGTAGCCATTGACAGCCGCTGCTCCCCCACCTCTGTTTCTCCATCTGTCTTGATTTTTAACTATCATCTATGTCACAAAAGAGGCATGTTTAGCAAGTGTTTGAAAGATCATACATAATCATACATGAGACCAAAGCTGTATTTCCAACTCTGTCACCATCCTTCTGTGTGACCTCTAACAAGTCACTTCACCGCTCTCTGCCTCTGCTTCCCTCCCTCCCCTTTCTGAGGCCCATCTACATAGTTTGCAGTCTCTTTGGCATGTGGACTGTCCTGCAACATGTTTTTAGCATGCCTGGCAGTCTAAGTACTTATAAGGTCCTCATCACTGTAGTATTATACTGGTTCACATTTAACATCGTGGAGCAGGGAAAGGGATGACTTCAAGGTCAACCAATGAGACAATGGAACCGTCAGGAATTAAATGCAGGTCTCCAGTCCAGTAACTTAAACAGTACACAGGGCTTCCTCTTCTTTCAGGTCCATAAAGCTATATAATAAAACTGTTCCATTCCGGCTACTTGAAGGAGATCCATACCTGTCCAGCAAAGAAATCTATCAGGGGACAATATTAATTGCATTTCATATAATTCTGATTTTCCTCTAAAAGCTGATTGAAAAAGGTTGAAACAATTAGATTTTCCAATGTGCTTCTAAGCTCACTATAGAAATGCAAACACATGCTGTGCACACGTGCAGACACCCACATGCTCCAGCGCACACACACACCAACACATCAACCCGCAGTCACACTCTGTATATTTATACACCCTCACAAAACACGTGTATGCTCACAATCACATGCCATAGCCTCCTCTCACTCACACAAACACCTGTGTGATCTCATAAATCTGGACTCACATGTACATAGTACACAGGCACTTTGGATCTTACAAGCACAGTCACACGAGGCAGACAGACAACAGCACGTGGACACTGGATGTTGTAAATGTGTGGGGCACACATATAAGAGCCCCAATCACAATCGTACACATCTAGGTACAGGTGCACCCATATACATCTTGCTTCCACAAGACCCTGTTCATTTGGGATACAAGGAATTTGATTTCTTCTACACTGAAGTCATAGAAACCAGTGAAGTATAGTGTAATGTAGGGTAGGAGTAGGAATCTATCTATGGTGGTACAGATGTTAGTGTGCTCTATCTTGCCTGTTTTAAAGCTAGGTCAAGTACAGTATCTAGTACTGTCATTGCAGTGTAGACACATATTTAGGTAGTGATAGACAGTATAGTTTGGTATTCATCTCTATACTCTTCCTTGTATCTTTATCATGAAACAGAAGGGTTAAAACTGTGCTAGCAATGGGTTGATAACTCCATTCATCTTCCATCAATGTACTTGCTCAGCATCCTTCAAAAGGGAGCCTTGCCAAAGCAGTGTATAGCTATGAAAGCAGAATTAGCTAGTGACTGGGGCATTGGCTTAGGAGTCATGAAATCGGGGTCCCTTTTCATGCCTTTTTTACTTGTCTGCTGCGTATCTCTTGGCAAGTTATTTTATTCACTTTCCCTTCTCGTTCAAGGAGGGCAAGTCTACTCTAAAGGACTATATAATGGGGAAGCACAACAGACCTGCTCTGTCTGCTAAACCAGAGGATGTAAAGTAGTGCATGTCAGGTAAAAAGCTTATTGGTGCACACCCAGCACCATACTACAGATACCCAAATAATCTTATTTCAGGGTGTCAGGCCCACGTGCTGAGGAAACGTATACAATTCACTGCAGTGCTACTTAGTGTGGCTCAGTGCTACTTAGGGATGCTCAGTGGGAGCATCTACACGTGCAATTAATGCGCCTGAATTTTCTGCGCAGAAAATTCAGGCACATTAAACTGTGTCTCTGCACACATCTGAACATGCACCTGATGGGAGCAGTTCACTCTAGAGGTGCTCCTGCCCTTCTCTGCCCCCCTGCAGCAGCCAGGAGGACCTCCAGGTTTACAGTGTGCCAGCCAGGGGGCTGTCAGGGGGCATGGGGCCTGGTTCCCATCTTCACGGGGCTGGGAGGCAGCTGCCTTGCTGCCGGGACAGCGCTCTCAGCCCTATGGACATCAGGAGGGACCTAGTCTCCAAAGGGCTGGGAGGCAGCATTCGATGGAGCTGGGACAGTTCTACCTACCCGCTGTGGCCCACTTCTGCCTAGGCTGACCTGGAACAATTTGCCCCTGGTCAGCATCTACACATGTACTTTGGTGCATTAGTGTAATGTGATGATTTCTAGTATCTGTATCTACTAGAAAATGGCATATTAGACTAATCTACTGCATGTGTGTAGACAGTGATACTTAACTGTGCATTAGATTAGTCTAATGCTCATTAAAGCATCTCATGTAGATGCACCCTATGTCTTGTCTATTTAGTCTTTAAGCTCTTTAGGAGAGAAACCATCTCTTTGCAAACCTAGTGTCTAATGCAATAAGGCCACAACCTCTAGGTAATACTGCAATACAAATAACAATAACAGTAGCATTCCCTTCACTCCCACCCATTAAGGCCTATTCTGTCAAACCAGTTGTTTAGTATATTTATCCTTCAAAGTTCTGTAGGATTTTTCTTTTCTGCTGCAAACTGGATAATTATTTTAATATCTTTCTTTTTTTGGCAACCCTTTAAAGTAAGAGCTGGGTCTTTATAGATTGCTCAGATTGCATGGAGTATGGATTACAGATCAGAGAGACATGAAAGCAGAAGACACATTTATCTGGCACAACATTAAAAGGACAATAAACGGGTAATTGAAGCCTGGGGCACGGCCACCTTGTGCGCCCAGCCTCCTCGCTCCTCTGCAGCATTGTGGAGCACTTCCTTAGTGAAGTCATTGGGAAGTCAGGGTGTGGTGTGCCTGGGTTGTGGCCTCGTTGTTTCAGCGGGCAATGCATGCTCTGACAGAAGAGATGAAAGCCCCATAGACTCACAGCTCCCTGCAAGAATGAAACACGACCAGATACCCTGAACCATAGTATAAATAGACTGAAGGCATCCAACCCCTGTTTTTAAGTTTATTTTGATGCTGTGCCAGGTTTTGAAATAATTAAAAGAAAACCCTAAAACTTTTCCATGATTCAATGTTTACCCAGTACTTCTTTCTCTCTTTCTTTCTTCCTCCCTCCCTCCCTCTCTTTTTTTTTTTTTTTTCCTCCTCCTCCTTCCTCTCTTTCTTTACAGGACTCCACAGAATGGAGCAAGAATGAGAGGAAAAAGGCAGACAGAAAAGCATGAACTGGAGGCTTGTTGAGTTCCTCTACTTCCTGTTTATATGGGACCATATAATAATACAGCCCTCCCACCAGGAACCAGCTGTTACCAACCAACATGTCTCCAAGGAATTTGATTGGCTTATTTCAGACAGGGGGCCTTTCCACCACTCGCGGAGCTACTTATCCTTTGTGGAAAGACATCGTCAAGGATTTACAACCAGATATAAAATATACAGGTATGTTGATTTCATGTTGTGCGTATAGCTTTTGCAGGCAGGGTGAGCTTTAATATGTCCCCTGCAGTTCAGATATTTTCTAATAATTAGTTTATAACCTCCATTGTCCGCATTCAGCCTGAAAGCATTTGATTATCTGCCGCCTTTGGTTCATGACAATTGATTCAAAAGACTTAGATATAGTTGATGTAAAGCTCTGATGTAAGAGATGGAGGCATTCAGGTACCATGGTGATATACAATCAAGATAGAGCAAGAGGTGTGTGTGTGTGTGTGTGTGTGTGTGTGTGTGTGTGTGTGTGAGAATAAGTGAGTGAGTTAGTGAGAGGGAGAGCAAGAGAGAGAGTTATTTAATCTGCCGGAAAAAATCATCAACGTTAATCTATGAGCACACAAACCTAAGTAAAAATCTATGGTTCTGCACAGACATCTCTGTCTATTTATACATGCAAAAGCTGATATCTATACATGTGTAGATAAATACCAGTACTCTGGGTGTCACACAGCAATATACACATATACTGATATTTACCTCTAGCAGTATTGCCTTGCCAACGCGTACAAAACCCACAAATCGGTTTTCTGCCTGTAAAATCATGAGATTAGCTTAAATATCATGATATTAAATACCAGAACAGGAGATGTTGGGCTTCTTCCTTTTTGCTTCCTGATTTGCAAGGCTGTACACATCACATTTGCAAGAACTTCTTCTTTGCAGACAGATGGCTAGAAACTTAGGGGTTTTTTTTTTGTTGCGTTTTGGGTTTTTTTTAACATGAAAGCTGAGATTCTTGTGCAATCTTTTGATTGCAGCAGCTGGGGCATTAGGGGAAAAAAGACCAAATCCCATAAAACTTTTTTTAAAAAAGCATGCGAGATGACAGTGCTTCTAAACACTGGCATATCCACCACATACCTCTGTAAGCCTTAGCATACCACTAGGTACAACACCTATAAGCATGCCTATGCAAACAAGTAGGAATGCAACACTGACATAAAGATGGTTCAATAACTCATTTTAACTGTGTACGCACAAAGACGATTTTTTTAAAGGAGTGCATACAGGAACTGTTTTGTTACAGGCACAGATCCAGAGACATCTGCAGATCTATAGTAACATGAACACACTTTCTAAATATACATGAATGTATGGATGTTGGCTGAGCTTGCTTGCTGTGCTTCCAGGAACTACAGCAGGAAAAAAGGCACAGCTCACAGCAGGGTAGAAGCTCAGATAGCTTTAAGATATAGTTCTGCCCTTCCTACTTAGAACTTGTGGTGGAGGAAGAAACAGACCATGCTCCTCCATTGTATGTCATCCCATGCCCCCTTTATAACCTTCCCTATATATTTCTTTCCTGCTCCTGGAACACCTTCAATTCCCTTAAATACATCAGGGCCCACAATGGAGAACCTATATATGTCCCCAGCAGGCTTTCCTGCCAAGTGCAGGAGGGCTGGACCTGATGATCTGTAAGGTCCCTTCCAGCCCCTAACAACTATGAAATGATGTCCAGTGCAGTACTGTATGCCAGGGAAATTCCCCCCTGACCAGGTAAGAAGATTTTATGGCCCTCTGCACTACAGACTGGTTTATAGCAGGAGGGAGAATGCATCCCACTGTGCCTGTGATGACTCTGCTCACTCACACATATGCACAAGTATAGCTTACACATACATATGCACATGCATGCCTGTAATAAATACACAGACCAGTTCAGTAGAAATATGCAGTGCATTATATACGTGTTATGCAGAAAGTGTCATGAAATGAAATAATGTAAAATGAAAAAAAGAGTGGTAATGGGGACAGCATTAGAAGGTTTCTCGAGAAGAAGTGAATTACATAATCAGATCATATATGAGATGAGGTAGAAATCCACTGAAGGACATAGGAAGAGATGAGAGGACTTTTGTGATGGGAAGAGTTGCAATGGAGAAGATTTTTTTTCCCCCAAGAACAGACCAGTTGTGAATGAAATGATTGGAAACGGCAGGGAGGAGAGTTGCAAGAGAAATCAAACCTGTGGGAGATACCACAAGTTCACATATGGTTAACAAAAGTGCGATACTAGTATTTCAAACCAGCTCTTAAAAGGAGTAGGTGAGGAGCAGTAATAGATTTGCTTGTCTTTCTCTGTCTATATTTTTAAAGCATTTATGACAGCAATATCTAGCAGAATAAAATTGATATTGCCCTGCTTCTTTGTACCAATGAGCAACAACATTGTGGCCAGATTGAAGCTTGGAGGCCACAGTCAAGCCAGCTGTGAGGTGATGGAGACCCAGATGAACACTTTAATTGAGAAACAAAGGCACAGAGGGGTAGTTAGGGACATCCAGATTCACAGGCTCAGGAAACACGAGATAAAGAGCTCAGAGTTGAGGCTGATACCAAAGTTTTGTTCAGTGAAGGTCACGGGTCAAGAAAGGATGTAGAAAGTTTGGAGGTTTATTTGAGGATTCTCAGCTTGGCCATACATCCTACCTTGATCCCCAGGAGATATATATAATCTTCTTATGGGCAAATTTTCAGAATGAGTAATCAGAGCATACCAAACCATAGGTCCAGGTTTTCATGCATCTGTGATACAGGTATCTAGGAAGGAACTGAGCTTTTTTGACAATCCAGTCACATGTCAGATGGAGCTGCTGGAAGCTGAGCAGTTTTTAAAGTTTGCTTCCCTTGGACTGGATTCTGTTCCCATTCAAGTCAGTAGAAGGAAAAAAAAAAAGCCCTATTGATGGAACAGGACAAAGACATTATTTAAGCGTGCAGAGAGAAGTGACAATTTTTGTCCAATCTGGCCACAGAAAGCAGTTGATATCTGTGACCAAACACAAGTGCATGGCTACAGATAGCTTTAAAAATGGCTGATCCCGTGAAAATCTGAACTCCATTACATGACAGGTGAGATGCAGACACTTCAAAACAGTGTCTTCTGTAACTCCGGTCTTCTTGCCTGCCAGCCCCTAGCTATTTTCTGAATGGGAGGGGGGAAAGGGAGTGGAGGGAGTTCAGTCTAGGGGGTTTCAGCCCCTGTTGGGGCATGGGGTGGGTGTATTGGAGACCTCCCATCTCAGGGGGTCTCCAATACACCCACTCCACCCTCTAGCAGGGGCTGAAAAACCCCCAGACTGAATTCCCTCCGCTTCCTCCTCCCCCGCCCCATTGTGAAAACTTTGCAGCCTTGCAGGGAGGAGGGGTCATTGCTATGGGAAACAGGTGGCAGGCTACAGCTAGATTCCCGTCCCCCTAGAACCAACAGTGAACTTCTGTTTGGTCCGGGGGATCGCTATAACTCATAACACTTCCTGCAAAGTGCGCTTACAGAAGTGCAGTTACAGCAGGGAGCTGCACTTCTGTCTGCACCAGTGCTTGGCTGGGTGCTGAGCTCTGTTTGAAAAGGTGGCCTCAACAGCAGGTGCTGATCAGAAAGGAAATTCTGGCCCACGTTACTACATCTTCAAGTAGCGTAAGGCAGCATAGTGTTCTTCAAATTGTGGAGTCTTGCCAGTCTGTACCAGCTAAGGATCTGACTCACAGCCCTCGAGCCACCCAGAACATTTTGCTTTGCTGGAATTTTGGGCGGACGAATGCTGTTTTGTGGGCTCAGCAAATGACTTCTGAGCTAGCTGAAGTTTGCATATTATTTAATTGCTATTTAAAGCTAACTTTTCTCTCAAAGGACGACCCTCAATTACTCATACTCATGTGAGTCCAGGGGGATGCCAGTGCTCTGCGTTAAACACAGAAGACCCTCCCTTAGAAGTTGGGCTGAGCTGGCATGGTGGGGTGGAGGGGTGTGTGGCGCATTCAAATTTTACCTCTTTGCACTTCTTGTTTCCCAATCTCTGTTGCCTTTGTCATCAGGTTTGACACCACCGCTCCTTTCTCCACAGCTTCTCCAATGCCAGATAATGTTAGAATTTGAATCAGTCATTGCATCTTGTGAACTTTGAATGGATTTGGAATTAGGCAAAAGGACCTCACCCATCCCTAATTGGAACACTGTAACTTGTTTAGTGGTGATTTCCCCAGAGTGTCTTGCTGTGAGGAAACATGGACACAGCACATTACAACCGTGTCATTTACATTAAAAACCCGCAGAGATAAAGCCACTGCCAATGTTACACAGCAACATACAGTAAAATACAGCATTTTCAAGTGTTTGCAACCAGCCTTACAAAAACAACCCTTCCGCCTCTTTCTTTCTGCCACAGCTGAAGTTCACACATCCATTGGCAGAAGGCTAAACGCCTTACTCCTTTTCCATTGACTGCTTTCACTAACCAGAGTATTTACTGATGGAGAATTATGCAAAAACAGAATAACTGCTGATACCATTTAAACCAGGCTCCTGCATCCACGGGGATATAATTCCCTATGATATTCTGTAGGTTGGGAGAATGGTTTTCTGTTTACTACAGTCCAGAAGATTTTAGGGTGATTTTCCCATAACACTGACATGATTATTTGCTTTATGCCTCTCAGTTCAAGTTTGCCATAGACATGGTCTTAGGAGGTAGCGAGAAGCTGGGGGGAAATGGATAGCATTGAGTCATGGACAGCATGGATAAAGTCAGTAGATGAAGAATGAGCATTTATCAGGCTTGCCTCATGATAATGAAACTGCTTTATAGTAGGGTTTGGAGGTAGGAAATGCTGACATGATCACTGTCGTATGCACTGTCATTGTGATGGAGATGAGACGATGGGTACTGTGGGCTGCCTGGATATTACAATTATTATTATTGTTGTTGATATGATTACTGTTGCTATTAATTATTGCACCTAGGAGTCATCATCTTGGCTCCAGACGGGGGAATAAAAGGAAATAATAAGACAATATTCTTCAAGACAATATATGATGAACTTAACATGCCCACAGCCTAACCATGAAGAAAGTTTAGTTAGTATGGTGAAAGGAAACCTGGCATAAAGTTCAGCCCTAAGACTAGAAGAAATATAGGTTCTCATGCATAGTTGTGTCACAGACT